TCAGAGAGATTGTGGACCTGCAAGCTTTCAGTGCTCCCAAAGTGGTCTGATCCAGGGCAAAGTCTGTTTGTTGCCCTCTTGTTCTGACCTCTGCAAATTTTTGACCTAGGTTTGGGTCTGAGCAAGATTAGATGGCTGCTAGAGTCAGCCCCATCAGCCAGAAAAGTTTTGTTGGTTCAGAGTAATTAAATTATATGTTCTCCTTTGGTCTGGGATTCCTGGCTTGATTATTCCTCTGCAGCCTGGGCTAGATGCCGGAACTGAGGCACTGCAGTGCTCTTGTGGTCTGAACCAAATCACTGTTGTTTGCTTCTGAATGTCCCTCTTTCTCCATATATCACTCAAAGCTTCCCTACCTAGGAACACCACAGCTGTCAGGCACAGGTCCACTTCTCACTCTGCCCTGGATCTGGACCTGCTTTTTCACATCAGATTCTATTACAGTCACTTGGTTTGGATTTGGGACCTCCTCTTGTCCTGGTGCACAGCCTCACCCTGGACATTAGAGTGATCTACTTGCCATGTGCTCCTGGCCCCTCCTTGCCCTAGTCCAAAGATTTCCCTGTCTGTTTACTTATGCCAAACTAGGCTAGACAAAGGCTGTGACCTTTCCTGGATTTATGCACCAGGATTCATTCTGATGCATTTTCTAGATGTTTGGACCAGAACTCACCACACTACTTCCTACCACTCCCTATTCCACGTTTTTATGTCTTTTCCAACTCCGGCATTATATGTTATAATGTACCCTATAGATATGACATTCCCTGTCTACATTCTAAGGTGCCCTTCCAGTTCTGACATGTTATATTTTAGATCCTAAGGTACTTCCAGCTCTGACATTCCAATTTCTTTGTTCTAAGATTTCTGACTCTGATATTATATCCTAAGGTCCTTTTTAACTGGGACAATCTACATTTGATATTCTAGGGGCCCTTGAAATTCTAACAAAGTTCTTTGTTATCAGGCCCTTCCATTTCTCATATTCTGTACTCTGAGCTAGGAAGGTGGATTGCCAACAGATTGTAGAAGGTCCTAAATGTCAGGCTAAGGGGTTCATATTTTATCCTAGAGGTAATAGGGAGGCAAGATCACATCTCAGCTGAGGGAAGTTTATTTAGGAAGCTGTGTGGGTGATAAATCGGAAAGGAGAGAGACAGGAAGCATGGAGACCAATCAGGAGGAACTGCCACGGGCCAGGTGAGAGATGATGAGGTACAGAATGTGTTCCAAGATTCCTTCTATCTATGCTGGTCTTTGTTTTCTGCTGTATGTTCTCAGGTCTCTTCCAGCTCAGATATTCAATGTTCTACCAATCTATGATTCTACATACTAGGAAATTCCCTCCTATTGCAGTAAGAATCACAGAATCACCAAATATGAAATTTGAAAATTTGAAATTTGAAAGTTGGAAGGGACCTCAGCAGCTACCAAGTCAAACTCATATATGAAAGGAATCCCTGATACTACATTCCCAATAATTGGTCATCCAGTATCTGCTTGAAGACCTCTAAGGAGAGAGACCTCTGGAGATGAGCCAAGTTGGCCTTTTTTTCAACTTTTACCCATTATTTCTGGTTCAGCCCTTTGGGCCCAAGCAGAACAAGGCTCATCCCTCTTTCATATGATTGCCCTTCAAATACTTTGAAATATATCATGTCCTCCTTGGGTCTTCTCTTCTCCAGGTTAAACCCTTCAAGTATCTTCAACTAATTCTCTTATGACAAATTATGTGTGCAATTGAACTATGTGAGTTCATCAAGGTGGCACTAAAGGGCATTACTGGAGAAGAAATAAATGGAAGAATCCAAGATGTGGTTTTTGGTCTGGTGAATGAAAAAGAATCCTAAGATTCCTATAGGAATTTGATTGTGAAGCTACCTAGCTAGGTTTCCAGGCTCCCAGGTGTTTTACTGCTCCATGGTTTAGACCTCTGTGTTGTTGAGAGGTGCACTGGGTCAGGCTGTCCTGGCCAGGGTTCATACAGGTTCTCAGGATGCTGCTCTGGGTTGAATTTCTCAGGTTCAGGTCTGGGGGTAATTGGAATCTCTCCTGAATGCTGTCACTAGAAACTTCTGCCTCTAGATTCCTTATAAGACATGTGCCCAATTTATTGAATATATATTGGTTCAAGAATGTCCTGTCCTGGGTAAGCTTCATTGACCAAGGGACCAGTGAGGACAGATTCCCTATTCTAGAGTAAACATTGTGGTGGAATGGAAAGAGGAATAGATTTGGAGTCCAAGGGCTCCATGTCCTGAACAGATTCTCCATACAGGCTCTCTGTGTTACCAGATCTCAGGAGGGGGGACATTTACCTGAAATCAGGTGGGGAGTCATACCTGGTTTCTCCATTGCTAGTATGGGCTTGGGTCAGCCTGGAGAGATCCAGTATCTGTACCTTGAGAACCCTGGATTTGCACAGATAGGCATAGTCCAGAGAACATGGAGGTAGAGCCCTGGAGCATGGAAGCAGTTCTTTGACTTTCTCCCCTTCGCCTCCCCTCTCCCTGGGGTGACAGATGGATTCCATGGACTCCTGGGATGAGAATTAGAGAGTAGAAAGACCACTGGACTTGGTTTGGAGACCTGGGTTTGAATTCTTTCACCCTGGGAAAGTCCCTTAGATTCCCTGAGTCTCAGGTTTCCTATCTATAAAATGGGCATAATAATAGTCCTTCTGAGGATTGTTGAGAGGACAGTACTTGGAAAATTTTAAGGTGGTACAGAAATAGAACCCACTTTTTTTTAAGAACCCACTGTTCTTAATGGCTTGAAAGGCTTAGAGGAAATGGCTCTTTAGGGATTTTGTGAATTTAGATGGAAATTACCTTCTTTTCTTGTTTTTACAGAGCTGAGGATAAGCCTTTCTGGATCTGTAAAGTGTTTTAGAAAAAGGCATTAGAGTCTTTAGCAATTAGTGACCCATTGTTGTTTAACCACAGACAGTTTGGTGACTTGCTTTAAGATTTTACCCCTTTTACTTCAGAAGAGAGAGAGAAAGCAATTCAATGGGGATAGGGTAGCTCAACACGATACTGAAAGAAATCTTCCTGGTCAAGGGCTGTAGCTGAGCTAGGCCCTATGGCCATAAAACAACTTCATTGTTGCATGAGACATACAGTCTGTGATGTCACCATTTACTGTGTTGCAGCTGTTCTGTATTACTCTTTGCCAACTCTCCCTTCCTTCAAGCTTTGGGAAAACCTTTTCCAACCCTTTCCTGGCTCCCTGGCTTTGGTTGCCCTACGTGGCTCTGGCTTGCCCTGAGAAGCCCCCTGCTTCATCTTTTGGATCACAAATTGGACTCTGATCTCTTATCCCAGGAGGGTTCTTTTCTTCACGTTACTAGCCCTTTTGTTAATAGCTTTTAACCTAGCAGCTGTCAGAAGATTGCTGTTCACCTCCTACTTCCAACATTTATAGATGTGTGGACTCTGGTCATTTAACCTCTCTGATTCTTAGTTTCTTCCTTTGTAAAATGAGAGGTTGGAATTGAGCACCTCTAAGCCTCTAAGGTCCCCCTTCCACTCCTAAATCTATCATTCTGTGATTCTGGGGATGATTTTTGTTGTTAAGTCATTTTTTCAGTTGTATTTTGACTCTTTGTGACACCATTTGGGGTTTTCTTGGCAAAGATAGAGGAGTGGTTTGCCATTTCATTTTCCAGCTCATTTTATAGATGAGGAAACTGAGGCAAACAGGGCAAAATGACTTGCCCAGGGTCACACAGCTAACCAGTGTCTGAGACCAGATCTGAACCTTCCTGATTTCATGCCCAGCACTCTATCCACTGAACCACTTAACTGCCCTTGGAACAGGGTTATCTTGAAATGGCTACTTTATGCCTTTTATAATTCTTCTAGTTCTTTTATTTTCTGTTACTTCCTCCCTGGATAATCAGGCCAAAATTATCTTTCAACTCTGCTTTGCCTCTATAGATAAGAGAGAAAAGAAGGTGTCTGAGTTAGAGTCTGGAAGCCCAGAAGCCCCCAGGCATTTGCTACCAGAGGATCATGGGATTCTAGGGCCTAGACCTGAAGGGAACCTTAGGGAGCATTTCATAGACCCAAAGTCACCCAGGTAGTTAGGATTCCAGCCCATGGTTTTTGCTCCCACATCTGTGCTCCTTCCATAACAACATACATCTATCAAAGTTGTGGGGCATAGGGAGGTAACTCTCACAAATTCCAGAAGAGGCAGGCAATGTGGTGTAGTGGAAAGAACCCTGAATTTGGAATTAGAAGAGCTGGATTTCAATCTGAGCTCTACCACTAAGTAAACTGTGTGACCTTTGCCAAGTCCTTTCTCCTCCTCCTCTGAACCTTAGTTTCCTTCTTTGTATAAGGCTGTAGTGGATGGAGCATTGGACTTAGAATCAGAAAGACCCAAGATCAAATCCTACCTAAGATACTTACTAACTGTATGACTTGACACAAATTATTTAACCTCTCTGGTCCTCAGTTTCCCTGTCTGTAAAATGGAAACAATAATAGCACACAACAGAAGTAATTATCTGGACTAAATGAGATAATAGATGTAAAGTACTTTGCAAACCTTATAAAAAGGGAGGGAGCTTTATATAGAGAGACTAGTAGTAGTAGTAGTAGTAGTAGGACTATGATAACAATGAAGAAATTTGGCTATATTGTATGTGTAGAGCAGATCCTTATTGAGATATGGGTTGGACTGAATAGCTCTAATAGCTCTGTGAATCACATTCATGACTAAATGATCTCAGATACTTTTCAGTTTTGATGGTCTGTTACTCCTTGCTGTCCTGGGGGCATTTCTTTGTAACTGTAAAATTACTTCCTGAGGTTCCTTCTAGATCTGGAGAAGGTCTGCCCTCCTCCCCCCCCCCCCCTCCCTCTTTTCTTAGGGGCCCCGGCCCCCCCCCCCCCCCCCCCCCCAACCCCTTGCACGCCGCCCCCCCCCCCCCCGCCCCATTTCCCACAATCACTGGATAGACAGAGACAGACACATGGAGAGCTGTACAATGTCTTTTCTTGGTCACAGTTGATTTTGTACATCCGTAGTTAGCTTTTTGCGTCATACAAAGTTGGGATTGGGGATGGGGGGAGCGGCAGCCATGGCTTTAGGTCAGATTCAAGGGGGTGGGAGAGAGCCCCCCTCCCCCCAGGCACTGACACATTCAGGGGATGGGGGGCCACAAGGACACAGTTACACACAGGAGGGTTGGGGATTGGATTGTCTCTGAGGTTGATGGAAAGCAAGATGGTCACTCAGCCAGGCCTAAGGGCCCCACACCACACACTTCTTCCCCCTGGGACCAGGGCTAAGGGCCTCTGGGGAAGGTGGAGGTAGAGGGTCCAGAAATGGGGGGATAGGGTCCTGCCCCCAGCTTCCAGATGGATCCAGTGAATAGGGAGGCTACTCCCTGCCTTTAAAACTATCTCCTGAGATCCCTTTTCTTCTTCTCAGGTTCATGGAGCCAGAGCCACTCACAAGTGACTTAGTCCTGGAGAAGTGAGTCTACATCTTGGATTAAGGGCAGGGTATGGCTATCAGCCTGGCTATTCTGTCTCTTGTCTCTCTGTATGGATCTCAGGAACCAGGCTGCCAGGGGCAGACTTATTGCCTAAAGAAGTATGGCATTGGAGTCCTGCATCTGTCAGATACCCCATGTTTTAGATATGGCATCCACCAGCCTTTCAGATAAGAACCCAAATGGGAGGTCTGGGGGTCTAGAGCAAAGCTGGCCTTTATTTCTCCTTCCTAGCTGACTGTTCTTGGCCAGGGAAGAAGGGTGGGAGAGGGCTTTCCCTCAAACTCTGCCCTTTGCACTGCTCTGAACACATTCACTTCATGCACACATATGCTAACTGCACCTTCCTTTCTGCTACATGCACTTGGTTTCTTGAATCACCAATGAGTTTTCCCGGGTGGGGATCCTGCATACGTCACATTCTCTATTATCAAGTGCCAACAGATTTCCATGGATGGCAGCACATATTCTCCTTCTCTTTTCCCATTTACCTACACTATGCCCTGTCAGCAGATTTTATCTCATTGCTTATCTGGGCAGAGAAGCTAGAATCAGTTTGTCTTAAGCTAGTCCCTGCCCCCAAGTAGTATGCCATGCCCTAACTACCGCCACCCCCTACTGCTAGCCTCTCTTTCTCTCTCTTTCTCTCTCTCTCTCTCCCTCTCTCTCTCACACAGAAACACATACACACACACACACACATAAATCCCCCAGTCTGTGCACTGAATGCAAATATTCGTAACCTCTCAGATTGTGCTCCATACATCACCCCTTCCCCCTTCCTGTGTACCACACACACACATACCTTCTCTAGGTAGTGTCTTACAATCAGCTATTGTAGTCAGTGTGGGTGACATACACGTCTATCACATTTCTTAATTCATGTGCCATACTTATATCCCCCTAACAATGTACTACCTACACGGTACCCCTTTCCCAATGGCCAATGTGCCATACACACATTATGTCATCTCCAGATCCCTCCTTGACCTGCTGCCTGGGGATGCCTGGATTGGGCAAAGCCTGACTGGGATTAGAGTCACAGTCCCCTGGAGTGTATCTTTCTCCTTCTCCTGTTTCTTAGGAGTGGTCCCCAAGGAAGCCAGCACCTTGGGGGTGGTGGGGCTTTCCGGGGAAGCTAGTGGTTAAGTCCTGAACTTGTAGGAGGTCTGGTATGTGTGTGGAAAGGTCTTAGTGGAGAACTAGCTACCCTCAAGGGCCCGCCTCTGCTTGGCCTGTGGCAGCAGCAGGAGCAGCAGTCCTGGGCCCTGGGGGAGAGGAAGGGTGTACTTTGGGAGTCTAAACAGGCTCTTTTGAAGGAGAAGGCCCTAGGCAGCTGAAGGCCCCAGGGATCCCTTCCACTAAGTAGGTATATTACTCTTTCTACACCCGGAAATTCTTTATATATGTTTGCAGACCTTTTCTTTTTCTGTCAAAGGTTTTTTTTTTCCCCTGATTTCAAACTCATTTGTACTCCTGGGAATCCCCTTATATGTCAGTAGACTCCTTGTGTGACTTGGATTCTCTCTGTATGTACCACTGGAAATCCCCTTGTATTTCTGCAGGACCCCCCCCCCCATATGTCTGGGAATTCCTTTGCGGATCTTTGGACCTCTTATAATTGGGCATCCCCTTGCATGTCTACAGACCCTATGTTTGGCTGAGAATTACCAGACCTCTTTCTTTTCCTGAAGATACACACATTGGGGTTGGTCCCTGGAAGTCAAAGGAACCTCTGATATTTCTCCCTGGAGCTCATGATGATGACAGATGACAAGAACCACTAACATTCTCTTAAGAGAGGCAAATGGCTAAAGGACTATTCAGTTTCTGCTCAGCACGCCCTTAGCCCCAGTTTACCCTTCACTTCTGGCTCCACAAGACCTTGCAGAGTGACCATCTTACTCCAGCGACCATGGACAAGCAGAGACAACAATGGGGTGATACAGCAGTTGAGGAGGTTAAATTTTCCCCGTTACAGAGACATACATGGACACACTCACAAATACATGACCCTGGGGGCCAGAGACTAGGGCACAAAGAGGCAGGGGAAGGAATTGGGAGTTGGGGGAAAGGGAAGACCTGGGGGCTGGAGAAACAGATCACCCCAGGACAGAGGGGATGAACAAAACTCCCTTTCTGGTTTTCTTAAATCTATGGTTTTTTTCCCCCTCATCTTTAAAGTATTGCAGTCTAACTGATATGGCTTTAACTATTGGAAACGGACAGAGAAGATACGACGTGAGCTGCTTTCTCTTTTGAAATTAAAGGAAAAATTCTCTAAAATGAAACACCCCAGTATGCAAACTGGGGTGATGGTGAAAAATGGTGGTGGTGGTGGGGCGGCGAGGGGCAGGCATAGCAACCCTCTTTGAGGCATCTCCCTCTTCCACCCCATATCCAGCATGGCTTCTCTGTTATAGGGACAAAGGACAGTCCTGTTCCTCCCATGGCCACTCAGACCAGTCTGAGCTGCCAAGTGCTTCCCAGGACCCAAACAGGATTCTCCCCATCACATCCAAGGAGGGAGGAGGATGGCAAAGGCTTGGCTCAGGGAGCCCAGGGGAAGAGGGAAAGTCTTGGACTTGTAGGAAAAACTTCTCCTCTCACCTCTGCTCCAGGAGTGGTGATAGGTAGGAATTGATTGGTCTAAGGGAGAAGAAAAGATATTTCCCAGTTCCTGCTACCATTCTCAGTCATCCAGCCAGCCTGAAGTGTTATACATGCATTTTCACTCGCACACACACACACACACACACACACACACATACATACACACACACACCCAGAAACATAACCCTGTAATAACATCCCTCCCCATACACATAAACATTCTCTAACACATGTCATTTTTAACACATAATCTTCAACACATACACACACATACATCCTCTCTAATATAGACAATCTATGATATGGACACACAATCTCTAGCACACATACACACTTTCTAAAACACACACCCACACAATCTTTATACGTACATATTTGAATCCCTAGCCTTCTTGTAGTCTCTAACACAATCTCTGATACACACACATATAAGAACAATCTCTAAAAGATACACATACAATCTTTGACACATCCATACACACATGCATATTTATAACACATACATTCACACCATCCCAACTATAGACATACCCATTCTGCCACTGCCACTCTCATTCCACCCACATTCATACATACTTTCACGTTCACAATCCTCCCTGCCCCAGGAATTCTCAGAATGGAGGAGAGGCAGAGTATTGGGTATGGGAGGGTAGGGTAGGTTAGGCTTGAGTCAGGTGGGTAGGGCTTTCCTTGGCACATCTGAGAGGAGAATTTTTTCCTAGCCACAAGACAGACCAATAGATGGAAGGACAGATGCCTGCTTTGGGGCTTAGCATATGGGCAGACAGATCCTCAGCCAGAATGAGAGGGCAGCAGCTCAGCTGGGGCTGTCTTTTCCCATGGGATCAGGGCTAAATTGTAGGTGAGTCTGCCTTAAGTGCCTCAGCCTGAGCCCTGCTTATGGGGAGCCCTCTTGGGGGCCAGTGGAACCTCCTGAACATGTTGTCCACTCAGGGCCCTGGAAGCGCCTGGATGGGCTGGGGGGTGGGGAGAGGAGCAGCATATCCTCTCCACTAGATGTTTTCTGGTCGAGGACTGATGCTGCCCGATGGCTCCAACTGTTAGTGTGTATTTGGAAGGGGCTACCCTATTAAGGTGAGGACCCCAGGCTGGGGGAGGGAGGGCCTAGCGTGCCTTTTCAGGAGAGAAGGACTCACGCTACCCCCTTTATAGATTAGGCTCCACAGCGGCCACAAAGATATGAGTAGAGGGTGGAAGCTTCCTAGGGTACAGTGGTATCCCAGGGACAACCTTTTATTGCCCTGTGGGAAGGATCTGCTCCACTGACAAGGGAAAGGCCAGGCTGCCATATTTGTGGCAATGGGAGTCAACCTTCCTGGTAGTACCCTGCCTGATCTCTACCCAGTGGCCCCTCAAAACTCCAGAATACTCCTTTGGTTAGGGCACAGGCCCTTCTCTGACCCTCCCTATACTACTGGTCCTATCTAGGTCATTGATGAAAAGGGAATAAGGCCAGGGTTGGGAACTAAGAGACTCTAATGATACCTCCCACAGTCGATTGATCTTCCTTGCGACTCCCAGGTCTGGCCAGGAACAGGGAGGGACTAGGCTGGGAGGGGCTGTTCTTACCATGGTGGGCTGAGTCCGTGGAACTGAAGTGAGATTGAGGAGGCCTAGGGAGATGTGAAGGAACAGAGATCTGCTCCACTTTCCTCTGGGATTGGCTGATGGGCTGCCTAATGAAGGGTCCAGCACTGGCCCTTGCCCCCTCCTCCTTGGGCTATGTTGGGCAGGGCTGGAATGTGTTGGGTGTTTTGACCCATTGGGGCTGGGCAGCAGGGCTTAGAGCTTCAGTGATCTCTAGGGGAGTAGAGGAGAAAGAATAGGCAATCCGACCCTCTTCTCCTCTGACTTCCTTCCCCTAGGGCCCACCGTCCTGGCCCTCTCTCCCCTTTCTGGCAGTGGAAATCATGCTCAAGGCATGAGGAATGTTCCTGGTGGGAAGAGGTTCGGGAGGAGTGTGTGCATGTGGGACTCAGTGGTCAGGCCTCTCCTCCCACTTCGGCACATCCCGGGCCTCTCCTGAGGTCATCAATGGTTTGGTCCTAGTTTCTGGCCCTCAGCCCAGGCCAGCAGCCTTCTTTCCCTAGGGCTCCTCAAGAGGCCCAGGGCACTGTGGGGTCAGGGGACAGTACTGAATAGGGAGGGAGCCCTGGGAGTTTCCGGCCAAAGGTGAGGGGCTTGGGTCCCACAGTCCATGTGAGGGGTGGAGGTGTGTGTGGAGGACGAGGCCAAATGAGGTTTGCCCTTCAAAATTCATACTGAATGGAAAGTGGAAAAAAAAGATAAAAACAAAAATGGGACTGTTGAGAATGGGTGGAGTTGGGCCAGGGTTACTTCTTGAACATGTCCTGGAGAGGCCCAGGTAGGTACTTGAGAACGGTGTCCAGGATGCTCTCTTCCTCCTCCTCCTCCTCATCCCCACAACCAGCTGGAATGGCTTTCTTGGGGCGGGTCAGGCTGCCCTCACATGGCTGCTCCAGGGCGGCCTTCTCTTCAGCCTCCTTCTCCTCCTTCTTCTTCAGGCCATACTGTATAGGGAGGAAGAAGGGGCTAAGGGGGTGCCCAGCTGTGAGGCCCTCTCCATTCCCCCCTGCCAGGCCATCTTCAACTCTTCCAACCGCCTGTGTCTTTGTCATTTGAGACCTGGCTTATTTATTAAGATAACAGGAGTTGGAAGGGAACTTAGAGATCATTTAATTTGATCCTTTTATTTTACCAAGGAGGAAACTGAGGCCCAGACAAGGTCAGTGGCATGGGTGGTAAGTGGCAGGGGCAGGATTCAAACTCAGGTTCTCTGACTTCCAATCCAATCCTGTTTCTCATGATTAAGGGGAGGCCTCACTGGGTTGGGGAAGGGGTGAGGGGTCTTCCATCCTAAGAGGTGACTACAGGGTTCCCTTGTCCAGGAACCTGTTCTCCAAGGACCTCCCATAGGAATCCATGCTGCCCTAGGGATGATTAGGCGCAGGGGTGAGAAGGGAGTGGGCTGTACTGGGAGCATATGGAATGTTCTATTCCCAAATATCATGGAACCAGCTCAGTTTATGTGAAAGAGCATTGGAACAGGATTTTAGGTTACTGTGTGACCTTAAAAAAATTTAATCTCTCTTTGAACCTCAGTTTCCATATCTATAAAATGGGAATACTAATATTGACCCTGTCTCTCTTGTTGTTTTTTTTTTTGTGAAGATCAAATGAGTATTTTGTAAACTATGAAGTTCTATAGCAGATATGATTGTTATTACGGACAATACTTGGGAAAGGGAAGGGAAAGGAAGTGGGAAGGGCAGACTGACCTTGTCTCGAATTTGCTGCCGGACTTTTTCCCGTTCTGCCTCCATGCGAGCATGCTTGGCTTTGCGTTCTTCCTCCTGCTGCCGTAGGGCCTCCTGCCTCTCCTCCTCCTTCTTCTGGGCATCTGGGTCCTTCTCCTCCTCACCCCCCAACATCTTCCCCATGTCTTTGGTGGCCCCTATGGAACAGTAGGAGAGAAGACTAGAATCATTCTGAGGGAAGGGGGGGGCAGGAGTGAACATAGGAGGGGAGAAGGGAAGAAGGAACTGAGAGACAACAGATGGATAAAGAGAGGGACAGAGGGGCAATGGAAAAGATAGCTAGAAGGAGGAATTCAATGAGGAATGGAAGGAGAAAAGACTAGAAAGAAGCATGAAGGAAGGTACGGAAAAATAGCTAAAAGGAAGGATGGATAGAGGAAGGAATGGGGGAATGGAAGAATGAAAGAAGGAAGGTAAGGAGAAAGGAAAGGGTCCAATGAGGAATAGATGGAAGGATAGTCAGAACACTAAGGGAGGGACAGGTGGAGGAAAGGATGGTGGAACAGAGAGAAGTTTGGTAAGGCAGACCTAATAGAAGGGGAGAGACAGTATACTGCATGTGTTAGAAAAGATCATACACCTATATGAAGAAGATTATTGAATCTGAAGGGACAAAGGAGCTTATCTGAGGATCAAAGGAGAGGAAAAACAGAAGTGATATCCTTGTGAACACGTATTATAGACTGCCCAGCCATTTAAAGGCTATCGTAGTAGACTCAGAGGGTAGAGGAGACAAGGAGAGAAACAGCTACTGTAGAAAAAAATTCTGACCAACAAAGAGGAATTGGTTGGTGAAGTGGGAATGATAGAAATTTGGAAGGGAATGACCCTGTCATCTTGGAGTTTGTAAAAGTGAGGAAAGAGCATATTCTTCATAGATGCACAACATTGTGAAAAATTCAGAGAAATGGTGGCTATGAGGCCTTCACTGAGGCTGTATAAAGAAGGATTAGAGGCTTTCAATAACTAGATTATGAAAGAATAATCATGAATGATTCTAATGAGGAAAAAAAGAGGGAGCTTTCTTAAGAGTCTGATGCAACCACCCAAAGAACTCTCAATCTCAGACAAACTTAAATTTATTAAACACAAGCACAAAAATAGAATCATAGAACCTAAGCATTGGAATCAATCTAATAGTTGTCTAATTCAATTTCCATCTGAACAGGAATGCTATCTCTATCCCTGAAAATTTACCATCAAGACTTCATCTGAAGACCTTCCAATCATTGTTCTATCCTTTACCACTTTCTAAGGCAGCTCATTCCATTTTTGGACAAAAGGCATGTAACCAATAGGAACTGAATATGAATATGACTGTGTGTGCATGTATGTGTATGTGTTGGATTTAATTTAATATTTATTTTATTTAATCTTTAATTTTGTTTATTTATTTAAATTCCCAAGTAGAGTGAGGTAAATCATGACAAATCAGCTTTGGAGGACTGGATTATGGTAATTAGTAGATCTGGCTCTTGAAAGAAATGAGAATGACCAGGAAGGTATTAGCTTTGAATGGTAAATACAACCTGAATGTTGGATGATCACTGGGATCAGGGAAAGAGTGTGGTGAGGGTGGGAGGTAGGGATTCCCTTAAAATAAGATGGCAGATGGCCATGCATCAGGGACAGCTCCAAATTTGGAGTGGATAGAAATTGTATCCTCAAAGTGGCATCTTCCAGTGTAGTGAGATTATGGAACTGGGGGTGGGGTGGGGAATGGCAGCCCAGTATAGCAGAGAGAACATTCAGCTTGTCAGAAAACCTGGGTTCAATTACTACCATTACTACTTTTATAATACTGTATAATATTATATAGTAGTATTATAATATAATAACTTAACCTCCATGGTCCTCAGTTTCATCATCTGTGAAGTGTTAAATTAGGTGATCTCTGAGAGACCTTCAGCTTCTGACATTTTATGTTCTAAGGTCCCTTGAAGTTCTGAAATGCTGTGATGCTGTGGGTCCTGAGCTCAGTAAAATGGCTGTTCTCTGCTCTGCATATTTGTTGTATTTCACTTTCTTGTTTTTAAAGGAAAAAAAAACCATCAAATTTCTGCCTTTGGGTGAGTTGAGGAGGCATTCAGGCCAGGCCAGGCCAAATCAGGCAATCTTTGGGGGCAGGAGAAGAGAAAATGAGAGAAGGGGCCCACAATTAACAGCTTCATGAGTCAGTCAGTTAAGGCCCTTAGACACTATCCACACCAACCCTCTCATGAAGAAATTAAGGCACAGAGAAAGGGGCTGACCTGCCCAGTGTCACAGAGCTCGTAAATGGGATTGAGCCCAATTCTCCTGACTTGAATCTTTCTGTGATTGCACCACAAAGGGCTTGGTCCCTTTTCTTGCCCAGGTTTACATGATTGCACAGGGATTGATCAAAATAGGGTTAGGAAGGCTCAAGCCCAGAAAATGCTGAAGCCCCTCAAAAAAATGCTAAGATTTTTGAAGCTATATTTAGAGTTGTTTATAGAAGATTGCATAATGCTAATAGATGATGAGGAAGTTGAACTAATTGGCTTCAATTCTATCATCTTTTTCAGCAAGAAGGATGGTCTTCAAATTGGGAAGGAGAGAAAACAATTTAACTCAATTCAACAAACATTTATTAAGTATCTATTATATGCAAAGTACTATGCTAGGTGCTGTGGATAGAAAGCCAAAAATGAAACATCTCCTGTCCTCAAGAAGCTTATGTTCCAGTTGGAGTAGAGGAGGAATACAACATATACATGGACAAGTAAATATGAAAATCCAGATGATAGAGAGCATTAACAATCAGGGGGATCATGGGATAAAAAACTGGAAGGGACCTCTTAATTTTATTTTATTTTTGTGAAGCAATTGGGATTAAGTAACTTGCCCAAGGTCACACAGCTAGTAAGTATCAAGTATCTGAGCCAGATTTGAACTCAGGTCCTCCTGACTCCACAGAGCTTGTAAGTGGCAAGGCTCTATCCACTGCACCACCTAGCTGCCCCTAACCTCTTCATTTTATAGTTGAAGAAATTGAGATCCAGTAAAGAGATGTGACTTACCAGGTCACATAGGTAGTAAGTGGCAGAGCCAAGATTCAAGCCCAAAATTCCTGACTCAAATCTCCAACACAATGCTGATTCCCAGCTTGGATTTATAAACAAAGTGGCTACCCACTGAGGATCCATGCTTGTTCTTCTGCTGTTTAACATTTTTATCAGTGATTTGAATAAAAGCATTGATGTTATGCTCATCAAATTTGCAAAAGACACCAAGCTGAGCTGGGAGGGATAGTTAACACAGTGGATGGCAGAATCAGGATCCAAAGCTATCTTGAAGGGCTAGAGCATTGGGCTCAATCTAGTTAAGATGAAAATCAATAAGGATAAAAGTAAGGTTTTGCACCAGGGAAACCTCCCAATTTCACAGGTTTAAGATGAGGGAAATATGGATAGACAACAGATATTCTGAAAAAGATCTGAGGGGTTTAGTGGACTGCAAGCTCAATATGAGTTAGCAATATGACATGGCAACCAGAAAAGCTAATGTGACTTGGGCTGTAGAAGGGGCACAGCTTCTAGGAATAGGTAGGAGATAGTTACCCTGTACTCTGTTCTCATCAAACCTCATCTGGAGTATTGTGTTCAATTCTAGGAGCTGTGGTTTTAGGGTGTTGATAAGCTGGAGTGTTCAGAGGAGGGCAACCAGAATGGTGAAGGGCCTTGAGAACAAGCCATATGGGAATCACTTGAAAGAACTAGGCTTGTTGAGCATGGAGAAGAGAAGACTTGGGGGTGGGGTGGGGCATGATAGCTGTCTTCAAGTATTTTAAGGAACTAGACTTGTTCTGTTGATCCCAGAGGGCAGAACCAGAAGCATATGATGGAAGTTGCAAAGAGGCAAATTTTGCCTTGATGTCAGAAAACAAAAACACTTCCTAATAATGAAAGCTGTCCAGGAATGGAATGAATTGCCTAGAAAGTTGGTAGGTGTCTTCTTCCTTGAAGGTCTTTAAGTAAAGGCTGGACAACCACCTGTTGAATATATATTTTAGTGGGGAGTCCTTTGTGGGTATGAGATGGACTAGATGACCACTGAGGTCCTTTCCAATTATCAAAATCTGTGACAAACCAAATTGTCCAATTTGGAACCAGTACCAAAAGTATGACATCTTAGAGCCACACACACACACACACACACACACACACACACACACACACTCCTGTATCTCAGAATTTACAAGTTCTATTCAATAGGTATGCTCTGTTGACTGTGGGCATTTCTGTTGGTCCCCTGGAATTCACAGAAGAAAACCATTTATATATAAACTTATAGGTCATGGATGAAAGATCTTATGAATAGGCAGCTATTCCCCATCTTTGAAATACTAATGAGAATTGCAAGCCTATAATATACGGGGTCCTTGAATATCACTTTTTATAAGATGTGGACTTAGGACACTTTTAGTATGGCAGAGTCAATGAATGTGGGTGCCATACCTGTTATTAATAATGATAGCCATCCTTGCCTCTTCGCCTCTATATGGAACTCCCCACAGATCTAGACATAGGTAGTTCAAGAAGCATTATCATTTCCAAAAAAGTCTTTACATAGGGGTTGGTACTTTAGCTGAACCTTGAAAGAAACTAAAGATACTCAGAGGAGGAGGAGAAGAGGAAGCAGCGCGTTTCAAGTACGGGACAATCTGTTGGAAGACTTGGTGATAGGAGATAGAATGTTGAGTTTGTAAAGCAGTAAGGTGGCCACCTTGGAGGGGAGGCATCTTTCCCTTTACACTGGCTGTCCCCATACCTGGAATTCACTCTCTCTTTTCCTCTGCCTCATAGAATCCCCAGTTTCATTCAAAACTCAAATGACATTACCACATTCTACTTGAAACCTTTCCTCATCTCCCTTCCCCCAAGCTAGATCTTTGTCCACCGAAAAAAATTGCCTGGTATCTATTTTGTATATACCTATATATGTATGTGTTGTCTCCCTAGCTAGATATTAGGCTATGTAAGGGCAGAGACTCTTTCATTTTTGTCTTTGTATTCCCATCAAATAATAGGAGTTTAATAAATACTTGTTAATTGTTGATTAAATGAATGTAGAATGCATTAAAAGCAGTATAATGAAATACTTGGAAAGGTAGCTGGAACCAGATTGTAGAAAGCTTTAAATTTAATTAAAGGAGTTTACATTTCATCCTCAAAGCAAAAGGGAGCCACTGAAAATGATTGAGCAGTGGAGGAAAATTATTTTGGTAACTATGTGGAGGATGAGGAGAGATGAGGCTCGAAGAAGGGAGAACAGTTAAGAGACTACTCAAATATTTCAGGCTGGAGTTGATAAGAGCCTGAACAAAACATTCTAAAGAGGAAATTGTAGCCCAAGATAGAGGAGGAGATAAGAAGAGAGAATCTAGCTGGAATGCATTGCAGCCTCCAGACCAGGTGGGTTACCTCCTAGGGGGCTGAAGGAGTTTCTAGGTGTAAGATAACATTATTTGGGACCTTTGAGCTATCATGGTAAATGCGAGAGGTGCCAGTAGAGATGGGCAAATGTGGTCTTGCTTTTTAATAATTGGGGAAAATGGTGGATTTTAGTGGCGCAGAACAATAAACCAGATGGTCATTTCAGGAAAAATTAAGGTCTGGATTATTAAATAGAGGGTTTGTGAACATTTAGAAAAGCATTCAGTAATCACAAAGGGCCAACATGGATTTACTAAGAATAAGTCATGCCAAACTATCCTCATTTATATGCTGTATTCCCTTCCTCCCTGGCCCCATAAACTTCTTGAGGCAGGGATGGTATTGTTTGTCATCCATTCAACTCCAGCACCCTGGATAATGTCTTGGACATGATATGTGTTTAATACGTGTTTGTTGGATATAATTTTTTGTTTTATAATAGGGGTTGCATATATGAGTAGATTAGGAGGACTGGAAATCAGATAAGGTGAGTTCTAGTCTAGCTTTGCTATTAACTTGGTCAAGTCACATCAATTCTTTGGGCCTCAGTTCCCCTCTGTAAAGTGGGAGGTTCCAAATGGGACCCAGACAACTTCTAGATTCCTTGAAGCTTCAACTAAATATGTTGGAAGCCCCCTTTTAGCTCTTATGATCTATATTCTAAAGTCTTTTACAACATTGGCATTTTATGTTCTATGACTGTATGACTCACCCCCAAGGGCTTGCTTCATAACAAAGTCCATAGTTGTTACTCCAATTAATGTGCTCTAACCAGCAGCAGAATTTGCATCCAGGGCTTGTAGTAGGACTGCTGAGAGGAAAAATGCCACCTAGAAAGGAAAAATGATGCTGATTAGGTACAAATGTCCTTTCTGGGCAGGAGGGACAGACAGAGTAGCAAAAGACAGAGTTTCCACAGAAATATACTTAGCTCATAAATAATAATCACTTCCATCTCCATTTCTGTAGTAATTTAAGATTTAACAAAGTGCTTTCTTCAAACAATGACTCTGTGAGGTAGATAATGTAAGGATTATTGTTTTCATTTCATAGACGAGTTAACTTGTCCGCAAGGAAGTAAAATGACTTACCAAAGATTAAGTCTGACATTGGGTGTCAGACCTGGGATCCAAATCCCAGGTCTGACAGTGGATATCAGATCTGGGATCCACACCCTGGTCTGACAGTGGGTGTCAGACCTGGGATCCAAAACCAGGTCTCTGGCATTCAAGTTCTGTGCTTTTTAATATTGTATTAGCAACTGAGGGATTCAGATCCTCAATTTAGCACCTAAGGCTCCCAAATGATGCTTCCTACCTCAGAGTACATAATTTTCCTTGGGGTTCATGGCAACAGCTGTGTAGTAGAAAAGACCCTGGACTTGGAGTCAGAAGGCCTGGCTTCTAATCCTGACTGCCATTTACTACCTGTGTTGCTTCTCAATTTCCTCATCTGCGAAATAGGGGTAATATTGCTTGTCCTCCCTAACTTTGAGGGCTGTGATAAAGGGAAAGCACTTTGCAAAGTGTTAGATGCTACAGAAATTTGATTTATTACCAGAATCCTCCCAGATATACATTTCTTCTGCATGATATATGCCATTCCAGTTGCACATACCATCTTCTCCCTAGCTGAAGAGCTACCTCATAGGAGAGATTCTATTCATTCTACTTAGATCCAGAAGGCATAAAGAAGAGAAATTGGGAAAAGCTACAAGGAGACAGATCTAAGCTATATTTAAGGATATAAAGAATTTCTTAGCAATTGATGTCTCATGGTGGAATGGGATCTTGGAGAGTCAGTGGACTGACTGCTCTTGGAGGTTTCTAAGAGGCTGGATAACTCCTGTCTGGGCAACTGTAGGATTCCTACAAGAGGTGGGAGGTCTCCAATATGACTTTTGAGGTCTCTTCATGTTCTGAAAATATGAAATTAGGTGCCCAAACCTTTCTTCTCTTTTCTGGGTCTTCACAAGTCTTGTTCACTTTCTAGAAGTAGGGCAGGGGAAAGAGCCATGGGCTGGGAGTCAGGAGACCTGTGCTCTGCCATGAGCTCATCTTGTGACCTTGGGCAGTTCAGTTTCCCTCTCTGGACCTCAGTTTCCCCATCTATAAAGTAAGGGAATTGGACTAGATGATCTCTGAGGTCTCTTCTGACTCTAAAGTCCTATGATATTACGCTCTTATGGGGGCAGAGTCACTGCACAGGTGGGAAGGGAGAGAGGAAGCTGCCAGAGTTTGAGTTGAGGTCTGAGTTCTGAAGGAGAGACATCTTGGAAAGCACTGATGAGTGACACCCTGGATCCTGACACTAGGCTCTTACTGTCACCTTAGTAACTGCTGGCCACACTGAGTACTATCCCCTGATCAGGGATAGGAGCTCAGGGCTCAGCAAAAATATAGACCCAGCCTTAGACTCCCACCTACACACACATGTATACACACAGAGTCATGTAAACATGTCTGTGTAGATATCTTCTCCCACAGATACCCAGTCATGCACACATGCTCATGCAGACATATACATATGTACTCACACAGATGTGTGTATAAACAAAAAGGCATAGGCATATACAGAAAAATGAGGTCTGGGGCTCTGATGGATATGGAGGGAAGATAGGAAGTTCTGCATTAATCCTAAGTTGGGGTGCAGCAGCATTGAAGGAGTGAGTCCTGAAGGGCTGGTGGCAGCAGCAGCAGGAAGGGGGTGGGAACTGGACCAGAACATGAACATCCTTGATGGTCAAACTCACTTTGAGGCTAAGCAAATGATAGCAAAGACCCAGCCCAATGACTATAACAATAGATACGTGTGTTTGCATGTATTGATGGGTCTTTGAATGTGTAAATCTCAGTATCTATATGTATAAACATGTATTTATATTTGTGTGTCTATGTGTTTGAGTGCATATATTATATGTGAATCTGTGTATGAATCCCTGCGTATCTTTGGATATGTTTGCGTCTGAGTGTGTGTATACATGTGTTTTCATAGGGGAATACACACACACACACACATACACATAAACACACATATATTTACATTTATATCTGATGCCACCAGGGGGCCCCTCTAGCTGGCTCTTCTGAGTTTTTGTGAGCCTGTCAGGGTCAAAGTCTGAACTTGATTCTTTCAATTTGGGCAATACAAGGCCTCTGCACTAGGTCTCTCACCCTATTATCCCCTTATGTAGAGTCCCTACCCCATTATTTCTTTAGGTAGAGCCCAGGAGCTAAGGGAGCTAGTGATGGTGATGGCAGTAGGGTTAGGGGGTGTCCCTCCCTCTGTCACTATCTTTGTGACTTTGGGTAAATCACTTGTCCTCTTGGGACTCAGCTTCCTCATCTGTAAAATGATTGGCCTAGAAGATATTTCGGTTGTTTTTAGCTCTAAATTTTACAACCTTAGGTTAAATCATAGGATTGGGAATTGGAAGTGATCTTAGAAATTATATTGTCCAACACTCCATTCTATAAAATGAGGAGTTTACTGATGAGGAAGCCAAGGCCTGGAAAGGTTATGTGACTTGCAATGCTCTGGGATGAGATTTTATACATGCCAAAATCAACCACACAAATGCTTTTTGCAATCCAGGATCACCAAGTGCTTCATTGATATCTTTGTGCTAGGGGGCCCTTCAGATATTCATAAAAATAATAGCTTCAATTTCTATAGCATCTCAATGTTGATGACCCTATGAAGTAAGGAGTGCAAGTGTTATCTCCATTTTTTCAGATGTGGAAAATGAGGCTCAAAGAAATGAAATTGCTTGCCTAGGGTTACACAGCTAGCCAGTGTTGGAGTTGGGATTTGAACCTAGGTCTTCCAGATTCCAAGCAGGCTTTCTACTACACTAGTTCATCGCCCAGAAGATCCTAATCCAAAGGCAAGGAGCAAAGCCACCAAGAGGTGTATCTATCCCTGAATGCCCTCCTCTCCCACTCTAGGTCACCTCTGGACTCAGTCAGGACTGAGGGTGGGGTTCCATGGTGAAGATGGGGAGAAGAGGGGAGGGGAAAGTGAAATTTACTCTGGAGGTAGAGTATACCTTCAGGGCTGGAGGATATATCTTTACTGCCTGGATTCTAGTACCCATCTAGGCTCTAAGGGACAGGTACATTTTCCTGCTCAAGATTTTCTCTTCTCCTGTCTAGTATATCCAGATTGAAATCAAGTGTCCCAATGGAACGGGAAAGAGGGAAGTCTTCTGGGGGCTGAGAGGAATGGAGTGTCTTTGGAGGGAAATGTAAGGAGGGGCTGTTTTATGGTAAGGGGGAATGGTGGTGGGGTTGGAGAGAAGGAAGGCAGAGGTATATTGTACTGGGGAATGAGGGAGGAATTTTGGAGGGGGTAGGATGGAGGAAGAGAGGGTGTGTCTTCTGAAGGTGGTTGGGATGGATTGCAGGGGGTATCCTGAGCATGCAGGGAGCCATTATGAAGGCAGGCAGAATGTACTCTGTGTGTCAGGGGCGGGGGGAGGGGAGGGGGAATTGGGATAATGTGATAAATATATCTGGCTGAAAGGTGGTTGAGAGACAAATCTCCCCGGAGACAGCCGCGCCAAACCCAGAGCTGAGGTTCTCCTGCCACTGCAGGACTCCTGCTTAGGTCCAGCAGCAAAGTCGGTAGGAAACTTTGCAGTAGCTGGGGCAAGCCCCTCCCCTATGGGGGCCCAAACTCAGTTTCTCGGCTGCTCCCACTTCCCTTTTCCTCCTCCTCCTCCTTTCTCTCTCCCCATCCCCTCCCCGGTTGCAGGTTCCCGCGGTCTTGCGGTCTTCAGTCTGGAGTGTGTGTGTGTGTGTGTGTGTGTGTGTGTGTGTGTGTGTGTGCGCGTGTGTGCGTGTGTGCGTGTGTGTGTGTGTGTGTGTGTGTGTGTGTGTGTGTGTGACTTTTCCCTCCTCGAGAGGGGGTGGCTCATAGCGAGACCCTCCCCTTCAGCTTTTCGGAGCTCCGGCTAAGGGCCAAGGATGCTGTCTTAGTCTCCGCCACCTTAGGTCTATTGGGGTTGGAGTTGGGGGGGACAGCTTTTCTTTCGAGGGCAGAGGTTGCTTAGAGAGAGATTCCCCTTCTGGGCCCCTGACTCGGCCTCACAATCCGATGGCCTCTCGCTCTTTTTCCTAGGTCCTCTGCCAGTCAGTGCTCTGAACCCTTGCCGGAGCTGTCCCGTCAGCACCCCCTAAGCCGAGACCCTCTTTTCTCTTTTTGGCCCAGTCCCGCCAGCGGCGCTCACACTGACCTGGCTGCCCCTGACGCCCGCCAGTCACTGCAGCGATTCCGCCTGGCCCACAGACGCCGCCGCCGCCTCCACTTCCCTCCTCCCGTTCCGGCTCCGGTCCCGGCCAAGTGCAACTCTGCTCCCCGAGCCCAGCCCGCCGCCGCCGCGGCTAAACACGCCCTCCTCCAATCCCTCCCATCACTCTGCCCTGACGCGTTGCCTCTCCCCTTCCAGATGGGAAATTCAAACCTCTCTCTCTCTCTCTCTCTCTCTCTCTCTCTCTCTCCCCTCCTTCCCCTTCTCTCCTTCCTCCCCTCCCCCTTCTCTCTACTTCATTACCCTCCTTTCCCTCTTCTCTCTCTGTCACTTCTTTTTCATTCTCTTCACCCCTCCCCTCTCTAATGTCTATTCTCTCTCATTCCTCTAACCCCCTTCTATACCTTTCCTTTTTTCTCTCTATGATTTTCATCTTTCTTTCTCTAACTTCCCCTTCCTGTATTTTCTTCTCACCTTTCCTCCTTACCCCAGCTCCCAAATGCAGGGTAAGCATCTTCTCTACCTCTATCCATACTCTTAAACCTACTCTTTCCCATTATGGCTACCATTATGGTGACCACTGGATAAATGGATGGCAGTGCCTTTTGCGGAGGAGAGTTCTACACTTGTGTGGGGAAAGGGAGGACAAGAGGACCAATTGTACATTTTGGGGGATGTCTATTATATTCAGCATTGGCTTTTTGGAGATCTCAAAATATTAACCTTCTGCCTCTTCCCCACTGCCTATGTAAGGCCATACAAACTCTTTGTGTAGAACTGAAATAATTTTGGCCTTATTTCTTCAAGTAGCTCATCCTCTGACCCCACTCCTTCATATTCTTCAAACCAGGAATTCTTCCCTCACAACCCTCAGGGATGGAATCTGAGAAGACCACAGGAGCAAGTGAGAAAAATTTCCTCCTCAAGTCTCCTATGAATCTAAAAACACTTATTACTGTCTTTCCTTCCTTCCCCCCTCCAGAGAGTGATTGCATTTTGCCTATCCTCTCTGCTTCTAGCTTGCATATATTAATCATGCCTGGCTGAGGGGTAACAGCCCCCAAGCTGTGGTCCTGCACTGGGGCCTGAGAGTTGCAGCAGTTCATAAATAAGTTATAGCCACAGCAAAACTGCAATGTCTTAAGTTACATCCCTTCTTCAGCATTGCCTCAGTCCTGTATTACTGAAGCAGGAGAAATAGAGTAATGTAATGGAAAGAGCTTTGGATTCAGACTTAAAAGATCTGGGTTTTAGCTCTAGTGGTGCCATGACCTCACCATGTTGCCTTTAGGGCCCTATCTGGACCTCAGATTCCTTCTCTCTACAATGAAGGTGTTGAATTAGGTGTTCTTTGAGGTCCTTTTCAGTTCTGACTTCTATAATTCTAAGGTCTCATCAAACTCTGACATTTTATATCCTAAAGTTCCTCTCAGTTTTGACATTCTACGTTCTAAGTTCTTTTATGTGTAGCTCTGACATTCTATGTTCTTAGTTCTCTTACAACTCTGAAATTCTATGTACTCAAATAGATTCCTTTCAGTTCTGACATTTTATGTTCCAAGGTCCCTTCCACCTTTCATATTCTATGGTCTAAAAGTCTCTGTTGTGAGGCTCCTTCTAGCTCTAAAGTTCAGTGATTCTAGAATGGGAAAATAGAGACTGCGGTTTAATTGCAGTGTGTTAGGTCTGTCACTGATGGCTACCCCGAGGGTTCAGTTCAGATGGGGAAGAAGCCTCATTTTATGTATATTATGAAACTCATGTCTATTCCTCCTTTTCCCCCAAGACACAGAGATTGATCAGCATTACTCTGGTCTTGGTGGGATCCCCAATGAGAGGGACATGGGCCAAGCTGAAATAACTACTTAGCTTGGCCTTAAAGAAAATAGTGTGTTCAGTTCTAGGTATCTCATTTTAGGAGGGACATTGAAAAGCTGGAGCAAATAAGACCAATATAGGAGAAAGATTCAAAACTATGTCATTAAAGCATCAATGACTAGTGATACTTAGTGTAGAGATAAGAAGGGATAACTTGAAGGATCCCTGTTTTCTAGTATCTGAAGGGCTGTATTAGAGAAGAGGAATTAATCTTGTTCTGCTTGGCCCTAGAATATAGAACTAGGAGCATTAGGCAGATTTCAGTTCAATATAAAGAACTATCTACTAGTCAGTGCTGTCCAATAGTAGAATGGGCTATCTTGGGAGGCACTGAATTCTTTGTCACTGGAGGTGTACAACCAGAGGCTAGATGCCCAACCATGAGGGAAAGTATAGAGTATTTCTGCAGTCTCTTGGAAGTTGGGCCAACTGACAGTGTAGTATACTGGAAAGACCATAAGACATCGAGTTAGAGGCCCTGGAATTGAATCCCAGCTTTATTGTTCACTCTGTGACACTGGACACATGCCATTTTATTTCTTTAGATCTCAGTTTCTTCATCTGTAAAATGAGGAAGTTGAGTTAGCTAAATCCTATGATCCTAGAACATTTGTAGTATCTTCTAACTCACTTTCTATGATTAAATTCATCTGATTGATTGGTATTCTGCTGGTGAGAGGGGACCTAGGATCTAAATCACAGGATTTAGAGCTTGGAAGGGGCCTGAGAGATCATCTAGTCCAGCCCTGTGATTTTACAGATCAGTACATTGAGACTAAGAGATGAAAAGTAACTTGCCCAGAGCCATAGAGCAAATAAGTCACAGAAACAGGATCTCAGGTCCTTTGACTCCATTTGATGCTATTTCCATTACAACATACCGCCTATAATCTTAGATCTGCCACATCTATAATTCTAGTGCCAAGGCTGAAGGGTGCCTGGAGATCCTTAGAAAGCAGGGTGGTACCAACATCTCCACTGAGATGTACTGACTGCAGACTTATGGAAATGTGACTTTTGCTCTACAGATATTTTTACAGTGACATTTACATTCTTGCCTGTCCCCCAGCTTCTCATCGAAGAAATGGGAATTCACACCCCGAGCAGCATCCTACTGTCACACAGGTTGTCTGAATTTGTCTAGAACTTTCAAATTCCTCATCTATCCAAGTGGGAGCAAGAGCCAGCCCAATTTCTGCTGGCAGCCCCACAGAGTCATCTCTGACAGCTGCTTAGAGTCACCTGGTGAAATATAGATACTGCTCCCCTCATGCTATTCTAGAAGGTCTGTGTCTGCCTTTAATTTCTATTTACCAGCAGAGTCAGTGCACCCCAGGAAGCCCATCTTTGAACAGATTTTAATGATATATGGCTTGAATGCTCAGGCAAAGCTAATCCCTGAAGCTAATGATAGTACTTTGCAAGAAGCTCTGGGAACAATGTGGAGAGAATTAAGACTGTCAGATACAACAAATATGTTGATAAGGGAGGATGGGCTTACTGGCCCAAGTGCCAATCCAGTTGGATCCCAGAATCACTGAACCATGGAGTGTCAGAGCTGGCGGGCTCTTGGGGACCATCTAGTTCAATCTCTTCATTTTGCAAAAGAGTTAATTGCAGTCCTTAGAGGGCTAGGGACTTGCCCAGGGTCATGCAGCAAGTTGGGAGCTAAACCTGGCCTTCTAACTTGAAGTTGGGAGTGATTTCTGTCTTGCCAGGAAGGTTTTTTTTAAGATTCCATAGCAATGCATTGATCCTGTGAGGCTCCCTTTCCTATTCCCGTCGTTTCATCCTTTTAACTTTACTCTTGTCTCCCCTCTTAACAGTAATCTGTCAATGAAGACAAACTGGGGCAAGCTGCTGTTCTTTCAGACATATTTTGGCATTGCTTAGTCACTGCCCTATGACTACCCTTCTCTAGGGAATTTTTTTTTGGAATTGTGGCTTTTAGTGGAAAGAGTAGACTCCTCGGAGTTGGAAGACCTGGGGTTGCAGACTCAGGCTCTTCCATTAACTCGATGGGTGAACTTGGATGAGTTGCTTTACTTCTCTGAGCATCAGTTTACTTGTCTGTAAAATGGGGGCAATAATACACTTTATTTCATGAATCTTTAGTGAAATGATGGACATTTGTGAAGGAGATTTGTAATACAACAGGTGCTAAATAACAGACACTAGCCTAGGCAAGCAGAGGTTGAGGCTCTGGAGACAAATTTTAAGAACTTCCAGGTCTGTCCTATAACATGGGAAGTAAAGGAATGGAGGCAGAATGGCAAGTGATTATGAGGAGTTTGGATTTTGGATCACAATTGATAGAAGGGAGACAGTAGGTAGAGAGTGCCGCTTCAATAAGGAGCAAAAGGCAAGAGAAAGTGGACCGGAAGCCCAAACTTGGACCCACCCACCCCCCATCTCACCCTCATTTGCCCTACAATTACTCCCTATTACTTAGTAAGTAAAGTTCAAACTCATTTGCGTGACACTCTAGGTCTAAGACCACTCTACCTTAATGTGAATTTACCGTATCTATCATATACTACATACCAGCCAAACAAGCATATTCTCTCCCCCCCTAAACAAGCCCTGTATTTTTTTTTTCACCTCTGCTTGCCTAGGGTTTTTAGGCACTGGGGAGATAATCTTCCTCTGTTTTTAGAAACCCAAAGCCTTGTGTTCTTTTTCTCTTCCTGCTATCAAAGCCTTCTGTTAAGAAAGGATGACATAACAGTCATTCATATACCATGAATCACAAAATTTCAGAGCTGAAAGGGAACTTAAAGTCCATGTGGTCCAGCAAGAGTCCCCAGTACAACTGGTCATCTAGTTGCCATTTGAAGTTTCCCATCACTATTTTCTGAGGCAAAACATTCCACCTTAGAACAATTCTAATTGTTATGAAGGTTTTTGAGCCAAAAATCAGTTTTTTTGCAACCTCCACATATTGCTCCTACAACAGTTCTGCCCTCTGGGGCTGAAGAGAAGAGGCTTAATCCTTCTTCCACATGACAGCTGTTGAATAATTGAAACTTAGAATCATAGAACCTTAGAATCACAGAATCTTCGGTTCAGTATACTGCAGAATCTTAGAGTTATAAACTCGTAAACTTTTAGGATCAGTGTATCAAAGAACTTTAAGAATTCTGCAATCAGAAGAGCAGAATCTTAGAATCTTAGGTGAATGGGTCACAA